GGACACGTTCGTATCCACGTGAGCTTAGGACACAGGGTGGGCGCTGCAGAGTTTAGGGTAGACAGGGCTAGGAAAGGAATGGTAACAATGCAGGTATCATCAAGAAAATCATCAGGACACTGACGCAGGATGGAGGCAGTCAGAGTGGATGGGAGGAGACAGGGCCAGGGAAGCCTCCTTCAGTGAAGGTGGAAGTGCTGTGTAGTAGTGAGCCTACCACTCACCCTAGAAACCACCGGCCCTACATAGTAGTAGCAGTACTATTAGTTGGCTAGATCATCCTCACTAACATGTTTTCCAACATCTTTTGATATCTGCTACCGCTTAAATGTTAGAGACAAAATACAGACAGAATAATGACATGGACACAGTCGAATAGGCTTACAATGATACTGTCTTTTTAATATATAGTTGTTCATGAGTTTATACTGCACTATGTGCTGAATAACTACCTCAAAACGGTCTTTGAACAAGCATTAATTTTATGACAAAGGCTTCCAAGCACAAGCCTTTTTCTTTCCTCATAGTATTTACATGTTCATCTTACATAGGTGAAAAGTTATCTTAGTCTTCTCCAGATTCCAGCATCCATACGCGAGAGCAGCACCCACTGAAGGATGAAGGTGCTGGAGACTCAGGAGCCAATACTTCTTGGACTGAAGCATTTCCCCGGGGCAAGTATCTTGCCAAGTGCTTATATGTGGTTTCTCATTTGAACATCACATGGACTCCATGGCATAACTTCTCATTTTGCAGCTAAGGAAACTGAGATTCACAGAGGTTTAATCATTTTGTAAAGCTAGGATGAGAAGGCTGGGTATGGTGGCACACGCCTGTAATCCCAGCACTTGGGAGGCTGAGGCAGGAGCCAGCCTGGGCTAAAGAGTGAGTTCAAGGCCAGCCTGAAGTATACAGCTAGACCTTGTCTTGAAGAAAACAGGAGGAGGAGCCGGGGATATAGCTCAGTGGCATAAGCACCTGCCTGGCAAGTGCAAGGTCCTGAGTTTGATCCCTGGTACCGTAAAAAAAAAAAAAAAAGAAAGAAAGAAAAAAGAAAAAAAGAAGAAGAGAAAGAGGAAGAGGAAGAAGGAGGAGGA